AGTGACCTCCTTCCCTCTCCAGCTCGAGAGCAGGCTGTGGTTCTGTCAAGATGCTGGGCTTTCTTTAATAAATGGTGTTGGAAAAACTGGATCTCAACCTGCCAAAGATTAAAACTAGACCCTGTCTTTCACCATGCACTTAACTAAAATCCAAGTGGATTAAAGATCTCTATATTAAAGAGTCACTAAACTTGCTGGAAGATAAGTTAGGCAGAACTCTGGAAGACACTGGCAAAGGAAAAGACTTTATGAACAAGTCCTCAGTAGCACGGGAACTAGCACAAAGAATCAACAACTGGGATCTCATCTTATTAAAAAGCTTCTGCACTGCAAGAGAAACTGTCAACAGAACTGAGACAACCTACAATGTGGGGAAAAAATTTTACCAGCTGCTCCTCAGACAAAGGACTCTTAACTAGAATATATAAAGAACTCAAAACAATCAGACCCCCAAATATAAACACCCAATTCAAAAATGGGCATCCTTGGGGCCAGGGATTTAGCTCAGTGGTTCCACTACCTGCCTTGCAAGTGCAAGGACCCAAGTTTGATCCCAGGTAACCCCCCAAAAAAATCAAAAATAGGCATTCTATGAGATAATTGACAATGTGAAATAGGAAGAAAAGGGCTAAAGGTGTAGGGAAAGTGGGAAGGGTAGGGGAAAGCTAATAAGGGAAAAGAAAAAAATATGAGAAAATGAAAAAAATGGAAATAAAGTGTTTGTAAATGGAGAAGGGAGGAGGGGTTAAAGGGAGGGCAGGGACAAGGGGAAAAAGTGAGAACCAAGACCTGTCATGTAGAGGTACAAGATCCCAACAATGAATGTAACTGTACTGTATCCCTAAAATGTACCAATAAACTCAATGAGGGGAAATAAAAGATGCTGGGCTTTGCACCATGGCGCAGATCACACTTTATCCCTCCCTCCCCATCCACAGCCGTCCCCACCCACAGGGAGGAGTATTACGTCAGCGTGGATGTGACTCACGACACCGACAAGGAGCCCAATGCGGAAGACCCCAGTGGAGGAGCCTGGTGAGCGAGTCCAGGCTGGGAACGGGCGTTCATGTGCCGACCCGACCCAGGCTGTCCCATTCTTCACATGGAGCTCCACGCTCAAGTCTGTGCCTCGTGTTTGCAAGATGGCTGCTGTGTCTCCAGCAGTAAGAAAACAGGAAAGAGACAAAAAGTTTTCTTCTAGCAAAGGAGCCCCTACACAAGACAAAAATACATATTATATATGTGTGCTAGCTAGAACTGTGTCCCATGGCCCCTTGTAACCACGAGAGAGCATGAGTATTTCACCTTCTGGCCTCAGCAGCCACAAGAGCAGGAGGAAAGTAGCTTTAGGTAGCTGATCTACAGTACCTGCCATCCATTTCACCTTGTTTCAGTCACATTTGATCTCATTTAATGTGCCCGTTTCCCCAGTCAGAAAGCCACTTTCTCATGACTCAGGTACGCACTGCCTCTTCCTGGGAGCAGCCCTTGTACGTTCCAGGGGCGGGCCCAGGAGTCCGCACTCAGACCCAGGACCCCAGGACACAGCCTGGGCCGGGCCGACTCCGGAGGTCTCAGTGGCCCCCACATCCCTGGGCCCCCGAGCAGCACTCGTTCAAACAGATCCCGTGCTCTTCTCCGTCCCCGAAAGGGACGTGTGTTACTGTCTCGCCGCCCCAAACAACACCCGACCCGAAGTGGAGGAGGGAAGGTTTCCTGAGCTCAGTTCAGACCGTGGCCAGCGGCCCCCAGGCAGAGCGGCGGGCGGAAGGCAGGGGTCCCGTCCCGCCTGGGGTCTTGCAGTCCCTACTCTGCTACCCCGGCCCGTTTCTCCGGGCTGCGCTCCTTCCCTGGTGATCCCCGGGAAGGGCCGCGCACCGGAACGGGACCGGCTCC